AAAAGTCGCCCTACGATTAAAGTTATCAAGAACCCTCCTATTACTGCCTCTGTTTCACCCATCCCTTTTGCTGCTGCAAATGAGGCAAATCAGTGATATTGTTGTAACTGGTCTGGTCCCTGGCTGTGATTTTTTACTGTGGTGGTCACTCTTGGCTGACCTAAATTAATGCAAGTACTGTTTATTGTTGATGATTATTTTTTTCACCTGACAGAAATCACAGACTTGGACAAAGTCCTTGTTAATGGTGAAAAGTGTCCTGTGAAAGTGGGGATGTAAGGCTTTTGAGCTGCCAAAGTGACTTAACTTCTCTATACCTACAAGCAACAGCAACAGCTCTCAGAGAGAGGTAATACTCCATTGAATTTTATGCAATTTTAATGCCATTGCTCTCTTTTCAGAGAGAATTACTCAGCAATAAGTATGGATAAAGCCCAAAATCTGTCATTTTTGACACCTACATAAACTGTAAAAAAATTCACAGCCAATAATATTATGTGATTGAAACATTATTCTTGGCACATACTATGATCTTGTCTGGAGAATCACAGATTTGGATAATTTAAAGCAACTGGTCCCAAAGCGGAAATGCTTTTTCAATTAAGTTTATCTTCATACTTCTACTGCCAGTGGAGTTTTGAGCCATACAGCTCTTTTGGTCAACTGCTGCCACTCTGTGCAGTAATGTATTAACATCAAAAGTCCTGAGCAAGAGATGGCTTGTTGCCACAAATGATCTCATTTAAATACAGAAAAAGTCTTGAGCTCCTGCACCCCTATACTCTGGAGGCCACAAAAGCTGGATTCATGATGACAGTCACATGTTCGATCTCTGCAGGATGGTAGGGGAGAGCAAGGTGATGAAAATAGAGGATGGGAACGCTTAAGAGCCTTTCTCTAACAAGCAACCCATGAGATGACGTAGATGTCATTGCTCAGAGGGGTCCTGTTTATATTTGCATGCACTGCACAGACCACAAAAGCTAAAGTTATATCAAGTTTCCTTGTTTCTGCCCCCTGCTAGACATGCATGATTTTAGATTCTCACAACTGGCTGAATGTGACAGGCTACCAGCAGATAGTGGACTGAGATTAAAGAGCCCTAATGGGGTTAAAAAATGCCTTCATCATTAAGCAGGATTCTGGAAAATATATTTAAGGGCAGAATCTCTCTTCTGATCCCCGTTTGGTAGCAGTTGTTATTGCTCAAGTTCCTTCTGTATTGCCTGTTCTCACACATTGCAAAGGTGAGTGCTCTCCAGTTAGCCAGGGCAGCATCAGAAAGAAATAGGGCAACTTAGAGAAGGACACAGTGCTTTAGTGAGAATTGTGTGATGAGAAACACAATGGGTTCGGGAAACATCTGTATCGCTGCAACAAAATGAAAAAAGGAGATGAATGAACTGTATGTCAGAGGAAAGAAAATAAAAGGCTAGGTAAGGAGGCCATTTTTGCTTACCTTTAAATGATAAGTGCTGTTATTAGAAGCAGAGTAGGCAGCACATATACCCCCAAAAGGCAGAGGGAACGTTCTTTAAGAAGAAAGGTATATAATCAACATGTAGCAGGGATAATCAAGACAAGGCAAATACTCATAATAATTACATATCCACTCAGCACTTATTAGAAGGGAGTTGCTTTGAACTGTGACTCAAATGCTGGGTGAAACTCAGGGGAAGAGCCACATAGTTAGCAGCAAGTCTGGCACACCAGTGACGCAACTCTTTACCCAGAAAATTTCAAGGGATGTGTATAAGTATGGCCTGTCTCCTCTGGGTGAGAGTCATGAATAAGCTAGAAAAAAGATCACCCCACCCAGCCCATTCCCTTGGGCACTTCTTCAAAATCAATCGTGCCAAATCAAAGATGTAAATGTGTTCTAATTTGTTTGGCATTTCTCTTTGCGATATGCCAGATTAGCACAGAAACAGGGCTGCAAATGATATTCTTGTAAATGTTGTGCATGGAATGGGAAAATTGCTGAAGTACAGTAAAAGGATGATCTCTTCTAGATTTAGGCCTAATTTCTCCCCTGGAAAAATCTCCCCTGGATTTTTCCTCTGGAAAAAGTCCTTGGATTAGCCAGGATTTTGCAGTTCAAATTTAAAGCAAAAAAGAAATATTAGACAAGCAAGTGCCTTTGATTGTAAAACTGTCTGCAGCGGTGCAGTGAGCCATTGCGAATTTCATGAAATAATAAAGATATAAGATAATAATTAATAACAATAATAGGCACACCATCACTGTGAAAGCTAATTCAATTTTAAGTGTCACAAAGTCTGTTAGAAAAGAAGAGATATCTAAACGTTAAACATAGTTTAAATTCCATAGGGTCCTTTTTCCATAGGGGAGCAGGTTGAGATTCATTAAAAACTGTGCTCTGTTTTGTAAAGCACACAACTGCCTGGAAACCTGCAGTATTATAATGTTTTTGATATTACAAGGGTTCTCTTTTAACTCATAACTTCATAGCTTTTTAAAAAGCAGATATACCTTGTCTACCATTTTAACTTTTAATTCTTCATTGTTGCACTTATAGTTTGGTATTTTTATCAATAGGTAAAATTCACAGATGTTGGATAAATAGCATTTTAATTCAGAAGTCAATCCTGCAAAGGCATTAAAAGCTAAAAAAAGTTTTGATAAAAAGCAACATTTGCCATGTATTTTGTGCCCTGGTATTATTCCCACCGATGTGTAAGGCTAAAAAGGGCCACCTATTACTGTATAAATGTATCTAAAAAATCTCTCAAGCTGCCTGTAATAATCTCCATTATGTATAATGACCATTTTGATAATAGTCTTTAGAAGAGGTAATGGCCCTGCTGAATGGTTATTACCTGTCTGTTCACGCTGGAAGCAAGATGCAGAAGCCAGAGGGGACAGTGAAATGGTCCTTGTAGTGTAGTCTGAAGGAGTAAGAAATATTTAACAGAATGCAAGAAACAGACAAGCAAGCGCTTTTGATTGTAAAATTGTCTGCAGTGGTGCAGTGAGCCATTGTGAATTTCATGAAATAATAAAGATATAAGATAATTATTAATAATAATGGGCACACTATCACTGTGAAAACTAATTCAATTTTAAGTGTCACAGTCTGTTAGAAAAGATTTCTAAATGTTAAATATAGTTTGAACAGAATGCAAGAAACAGACAAGCAAGTGCCTTTGATTGTAAAACTGTCTGCAGCGGTGCAGTGAGCCATTGCTTATACTCCAATTCTATACAATGCCATAGAAGCAATCACTTCAGTCCAGAGAGATTTCAGCACAGACCAAAGATCAAAAATGTTTAGATCTTCTGTACAACTGCTGCAAAAGTGACCCTATATACAAAAATATGGGACTATAAAAACAAGAGATAAGACATATCAGAGCTATAAGGACTCAGACTGGCCTTTAATACAGACAGAATAGTCTTGCAAATGAAGTCTGAGCACAGGCAATCCATGGTCACAAAAAGCCCATGACCTAAGCAACTTATATTACCTCTGCCCAATCTAGATCTTCAGCTCTACAAGTTAATTCTTAGATCATATCCACAAAAATGGTTTTTCCAAGCAGAGATTGTCTTTGAATCCTACTCAGTACATAACAAAATTTGGCCCTGATTTCAGTTATAGCCTGTGGGTTTTATCATAAATTAAAAAAAAATGTAATGATGATAAGAATTCCTGAATTATGGAACAGTGGAGTTATGAATTATGGAAAGGCAAACTCAGAAGTTAGCACTCCTGTCACATGTTCATCTTTTTCTGACCTCATACTTAGAAGTTAATTGGGGAGGTATTTCACTCAATAAAATTGGGTTAATGACAGGCAAGGAAAAAAAAGACAAGCCTATCTTCAACACTGCAAGAAGGAGACAACCCAAACGATACGCATTTAGCACAAAAGGCAAACCCATGGATCAGACAGCAACCACCACTGCAGAAAAAGGAGCGCTGGACCATGCCAGAGGAACAGCCTCCAGCCCTAAAGCTGCTTTAGGAGGGGGAGGAAACACCTTTGAGAGAGCAAATGCTGGGAGTATTAGTCTATGTAGATTGATCCATACCACTGGACAATGATAGTTCGAGGACACAGTCCGAAGACAAGTGTTTGCCTCTCGTATGTATATCATACTTTCCTTGAGAACTGAATTGTTTCCATTCCATTCCAAATCTACATGCCAGCAGGAAAATGTGAGCCTTCAAAATGAAGGATTTCAGCCAGATCTGTGATGCCTGACACTGAGAATGACTTTAGCAGTTTTAGTTTTGTCAGTTGCCTTTTGGGTTCAGAGGAACCCAGAAGTCCTAATAAGAGGGCTCACACGCCATTAAATCTCGTTATTGCTTCATCCTCCAAGGTGATCAGGTGATGAAGAAATGCCAGTCATGTATACACTCTTCTGGTGCCTTGTTACTCTTTGGGCACTGAGTGGTGATACTCTGTTGCTCTAGGAGAAAGAAAGATTAAAGCAGACTGATAGGCATTGGCAGCCCTGGATCCAGTTCTCTGTTCTGCATTGACTTGCACTGCGACTTAAATAGCTTAGTCTACGCTGATAATGATAACATCCCATGTCTTGCTTTTCTCCATTATTATTACCCTAACTCGCTATCACTAGCAAAAGAAAGAAGGAAAATTAAAATCCAGATGTAAAGTTTCATTTACAATGCTACAGACTCTAGCACTGTTTTTTTTCTTGCTCTCAGTGTATTCTCACTCCTCTTCTGACCTTAAGTTGGATTCTGAACAAGGTCTCTCACTTTTAAAATAATTTCCCTCACTTCACTTTTAGAAGGTGCTCATCTTAGGTCACCATCATCCCAGCAAAAGCCTTCCTTCATTCTTACTAGCTGCATGAAGGCAAATATTTTTGCCCTCCTCTGTGTCTTTACTTGAGCAAATTGGCCCACTTACTGAGATGTCTGTAAGTATTGAGTGGACCTAAAAGGGTGACTCAGGACAACTTAAAGATCTAATTAATTGCAGAGGCTTGAACAGATTCTGCAAAAAAAAAAAAAACCCATGCTTTCAGTTGGAAGCCTGTGTCATGATGGTATGTATGAGGAAACAACAACAATAAAAATATAAATAACACACACTAATGGCTTTACCCCATAAGGGAGTCCAGAATAAGAAACTACTCAGTTTCTGAATGAGGTGACTCCATGTATCAGCAGGAGAAAAGGGGCTACCCTGGTACGTCTTCAATTTGCACTTGCTGGTCAGTTCACATGAGTTTAACCATAGTGAGCATCCTACTGAATTATACATAGGTCCAGAATAAGGCACAATAAAAACAAATGACTAGGTAGCATCTGAAAACACTAATGCTGAAGAACACAGGTAATCTCATGCAATTATAACACATTAACAATTACAATGTAGCCACCCAGCTTGAAATCATATAGCCTTTGCACATAATTAATACTACTAAATGGAAAATGAAATCCCTATTATTATTGCCACCACTTCGAAAAAGTGTTCTCATAAAAATTTCCAAGGAAATATAGAAGCAAGAAGAAATATGGAACTGCCCGAGTAAATTCCTGGTGGTCTATATCTTGTCTGGAAACTGGTTTCTACAGAAGTTAGTAGACAGTATTTCTGGGGAAACTGGAAGACTCTCAATAAATGACAATTCTTGAAGACTGGCTTTAATTTGCTGCCTGGTTGCTACAGGTTGGGAACTGCTCAGGTTGTTTCTAACCAAAATAGATAACATATCACTTAAATAAGAAAATTCATTTGTGTTTATCTTAGCTAATAAGTAAATGATGGATTTTGACATGTATATGACTTACTTTTATTAAAATCCTTAAAAATCTTTGCCTTAGTGCTAGTCTCTAATAGTGATTTTTACAATATGGTAATTCATGTCTGTTAGACTTACCCCTGTGGATAAATTCTTTGGCTAAAGTTCCATTCTCCTTTTTGATACTGACGTTCAGGCCATCTTAGATCTCCCATCAAGAGAAGGAATCCTTGTGGAGAATGTAAAGCCCTGATAAATGTCCTTTCAAACTTTCATCTTATCTGGGGAAAAAAAAATTTGTTTTGCAACTCATTTGAAAAAGGTGATAAGACTATAGAAAATGCTCATAAATACAAATGAATGAATAAATATCCAAAAATGAGTTTTAAGTTACACAGGAAAGAATAAAAATAAAACACATTTTTGCCTTTTTCTATTTAAACTCATTTTTTGGTGTATTAAAGCTGTTAGTCACTACTTTTACATGCATTAAAAATCCTGCTTAGAAATGGTATTTATTTACCCAGTAGACTATAATAGTTCTCTTTTGTGACTCTTTCATAACAATTTTGCTTATAAATAAGGGCAATGCACAGACAAAAAAAGTATTTTTGTATTAGGTAAAGATTAAATTACATGCTGTTGATTTTTTGTTGTCAAAATGGGTTTCTTTGCAGATAAACAAAGATGTTTTAACAATATTTTCTACGTATAGAGATTCTGACAGAATTTCACATGTACTTTGGACAGTGGGGTTCATGCTCCTGTTTGGCCTCCTTGGACAGGTTATACTTATCTTCATGGTTCAGCTATCCGTAACATTCGGATAGTAGTACTCCATTATCTTGCAGACCTATGAGGCTTTTCAAGACTGCAGTGTCCTGCCACGCTATAGCAATGGGGGCCACGTAACCACCTCCAGGACACCCTGGTATCATGAGGACCTCAGGGCTCCCACTTGAGCCCAGAGTCCCCAATTATCTGTGCAGCCTAAACATTTCTCCTCCTACTTTTGCTTGAGGGGAACCCTCAAGAGAGCTGGAGTGCAGGGGGTTGAGGTGACCCCATACCCTGCCCCTAAAGGTAGTCTGGACGCTACTGGTTCATGTCCCCTGCTTGGCTAACTTCATCCGGACCCAGTCACGCTCTCCAAAGGCAGGGCATACTTGGCAGCCAGCAACGAGGTGCTTGGGAAACGCTGGACTACTTTGCCACTCTATAGTTACCACAGCTGAAAACAACAGATTATTATTGTGCAGCAGAGAGCCAAATGTTCCAGAAATATATTTGGTTCAAACACTCCACAGATGAGTCACGCTGACACCAACAGAAGGGCCTGCTCCAAGAGCTGTCCCTCCATCCTTTACTCCTGCCACTGCTCACTGTTTATTTTATGTATTTTCACATTTATGTATTTTCACATTTATAGAATGTTTCTGTTAATCATCTTTGAGGTATATTCACAATAAACAAGCGTTAAAATAAATTGGTACCAAAAAGTGCAGACTTTATGGTAGAAACTCCTAGAATATTTGAGATCTAAAAGACACTGAGAGGAATAACTTGAACTTTTTGATATACTTGATATGGCTAAAATATGACTTGATATGTGCCTGTGCGCTTGTAAAAAATATTGCTGAAGTGTAAAACCTCTGAGGTTCATATTCAGTTAATGAAATAAGCCAACATAGTTCATCCGCCACAAAATTTAAACATAGCTAAGGGAAATCAAAAGGAGTTTTTCTTGTAGGCATAGAAATTATCATTTCTAGTAACACTGGAATGAGCACGTATGCTACCAGATAAGTGCAAAAGCAGTTCTGTTCGGGTGATGTGATTACTGTTTTTGAATGCAGAACTAATCTGGCACAGTTCAAAGTGACCTCTATTGACTTTTGTGGGAAAAGAGGGCATGCAGCACCCCCCGAAGAATCAGGCTCAAATCAGGTATTTTAAAGTAGCGCTCCTAATGAAAATAATAATAGGAAAAGAAAGAAGGCAAAATAACAACTAAATAATAGCACATAGAATGGACTTTCTGGGCTCAAGTAAATCCATTTAAATAGATCTTATGCTAAAGTTATCAACTTCAGACGACAAAAAAAGATAATTTATTTTAATTTGTAGTCACATAATTTTAAATTATATCTGAAATGCATAAAGAGTTAGGAAGAATGCACATTGGTAAAGTCAGAGAAAATTGTTAGCATAGAGTCATGTTTGATTTTCACAAATAGGAGTCAAAAGTTTGCGAAAAAGGCATTATCTACCCTCCCAAGTTTACAAATATGTTCATTTTAGGCCTTGATATGAATGATGCAAAGCACCTGTGAGATCAGAAAACAAGTATTTGTACGGGAAAATGCGGAGGAAGGTCGAGGAGCTAGGCGATGGAAGCTAGCCAGACCGTCCCGTGGGAAAAGGAGCATCCGCTGGGCACGCTGACCCACAGTCACACGGCCGAGCCCGTGCCAGTGTGGCGCTGCACCTGGGCTCTGAATCGGAAGCAGCGATGAGCTCAATGTGCTTGCTGCGCATGTGTGCCGTCCATAAAAACCTCACATAGTGCCCCCCCGGCGTTCCTCGCCCTGGACCGACGCTCAGCGGTGCCAGGGACTCTCCCGCTCCATTAGTGCCTCGATCGGGAAATCGCTGGGGAACCCCCGCCCAGACGCAGAGGTAATAAACGCGCAGTATCGACCCTGGTGTGCCTTGTGTTTGTGCATCCGTCCCTGCCGGGAGTCCGGGCCGTGCCCCTGCCCTACTCTTACAAATGGGGAGCTACAATATTGGTGCTGTATTTGGGTAGCCACATCTGTTCCAGTTTTGCTCTGTTTCACTGGTGATGCTCTGAGCTAGCTGTATTCACAGTGGGTGTACATTTGTCTTAAATCTGGAAGTGAGAGCAGTATTTGGCTACAATTATGATAATTATTAACAGAATTTTATGATAATGAAGACAATCATAGATTTTGCCCTGCATAAAGGTGATGGGCACTTCAGAAATGCTTAGAAAGATAGACAAGCCTCCACAGCCACCCTGTAGATTGTCTCTTCTCACAGCTAATATATCACCAAACACAAATGCAGTCACTGTTTACAACCTTCTTGTACTTTCCTTCAAAGCTTCTTACATACTTGATATTTCAACTTTTGATAGTTAGGCAATAAATGAGAAAAACAGTCTTCTATAGCAAGATTTAGACTGAATCAACTCACTTTCCTAATGGTGTAAGCACTTTTGCCTAGTACTAGTAAAATGGATAGGGATGAGGGTTGTTAATTTAGCTTTAATGTTGGATCCATGGGAAAAAACTGTAGGGGATTCTCTTCAGTTGGTAGTAAACAACTGCAGAATCAGTGTGTTTTTCTTCACTCTTGAGGTATTGCTTACTGTACTGGAAAATAATTCTGTTACTTTGCCCCATATAACATTCACCAAAAAGCCAAATGTACTGTCCAGGAATAAAAAAATAAGAGGAGGATGATTTTCTGCAACTAAATGAATCAAATTATCTGAAGCAAACTGAGAAATCGAGATAAAGATGTGATGTAGGATTTTCACAATGTTTTATGGCAATTTGCATCATTTATAGCAGACCCATGATGATGCAAATTGCTATCAAGTAGGATATTTCAGGCCATTGAAATGCCATAAAACTGCAGGAGAAATAAATTTTCAACCTAGAACTTGGTATTCAAATGGTTGTTGTGAGGAATGAATGTGAACCAATCTCAGTGTTTCCCCAAGTTTGCTGGGCATCGTGCCAGCCAGAAATTATTCCATTACCATAATTCTTTGTTGCTGCCAAAAAAAGAGGAAAACATAGACAAGAGACAAATATATGTATTATATTGATCAGGCTAAATTAAAAGGCTTATATGACCTGGGTTAAAAAAGAAAAGAAAAATAGAGAGAATATGAATACTATTCTCTAAACACAGGACTACAGTTTTGTAGTTTTTCTGGGTTAAATATGTAAGGGTAAGGCGGGGGCACGGCCCGGACTCCCGGCAGGGACGGATACACAAACACAAGGCACACCAGGGTCGATACTGAGCGTTTATTACCTCTGCGTCTGGGCGGGGGTTCCCCAGCGATTTCCCGATCGAGGCACTAATGGAGCGGGAGAGGCCCTGGCTCCGCTGAGCGTCGGTCCAGGGCGAGGAACGCCGGGGGGGCACTATGTGAGGTTTTTATGGACGGCACACATGCGCAGCAAGCACATTGAGCTCATCGCTGCTTCCGATTCAGAGCCCAGGTGCAGCGCCACACTGGCACGGGCTCGGCCGTGTGACTGTGGGTCAGCGTGCCCAGCGGATGCTCCTTTTCCCACGGGACGGTCTGGCTAGCTTCCATCGCCTAGCTCCTCGACCTTCCTCCGCATTTTCCCATACACCATTCATCAGGAAAGATGCTAACTAGGAAGTAGCATATACAGTCTGCCTTACAGTAGGAAAATGATGGGATCTTGTGATGCTACTTTCATCTAGAAGTCATTGAATGTTATTCATCCAAGCAGAGCATCTTTGCTCTGAGCCAAATGTTTGTCTCAGTTGTACACTGGCATGAATCTGCAATAATTCTGTTGAAATCAATGGGATAGTCCTGGATTTATGCCCATGTAGTGGAGACAAGCATCTGGCCCAGTATTTTGGCAGAAGCTCCAAGTAGTCCCTTTGAAATCACTCCTGGATTCCAAAAAACAATCTCAGACAGAAGATTTTCATCAAAGCTTTTCAGTATGAGCATGGAAGCCAGATTAGGCAAGCAACCAAAATATGTGTAAATCAGCAGAAGCCACAGTTCTACATTCCTGC